GGGAAGGGAAGGGAAGGGAAGGGAAGGGAAGGGAAGGGAAGGGAAGGGAAGGGAAGACAGACTATGATGACATATCAGAACTCTTGTCCCTACAGTCACTGTGTGTAACATTAGCAAATATTTACTTTTTCAGATCTGTGATTTTGGCCTAGCCAGGGTGGAAGAATTAGATGAATCTCGTCACATGACTCAGGAAGTTGTTACTCAGTATTACCGGGCTCCAGAAATCCTGATGGGAAGCCGTCACTACAGCAATGCTATTGACATCTGGTCCATAGGCTGTATATTTGCCGAACTGCTGGGACGAAGAATATTGTTTCAAGCTCAAAGCCCCATTCAGCAGGTATAAAGGTGCTTTGCTTTTCATGTGATAGATCAAGCAATCTACACCCTCCTGAGGTGTTGGATTGCAACTGCCAGCATGCCCAGTCATTCAGCACATGAGGGGCACTAGAATGGGAAAAGATATTTCTATATTTGGTGCTTTAAGGGTGGCTGCTTGCTGTTTTGTGTGTGCGCGTGTGTATGTGTGTGTGTGTGTGTGAGAGAGATCTTTTTATATTAAGAAATTGTGTTTAACCATTAGAGACCTAATGATTTAAATGAGTTTGTTTAATTATTATTTTAGCTAGATGACCATGAGCTGTTCTCCTTACTTCTTTTCTCTGTTGGGTTTTCTGGGCCCCCACTTCTTGCGTAGGAATAACAGAGTTGCGTTTGCTTATCTGATTCATCTCAGAGCAACCTTGTGAGGTAGATTGTCATCCTTCCTGGGTGACAGATGGGGAATGGAGGTTGAGATAGAAGCCCGCTCAAGGCTGCCCATCTTGTCCAGGAGTTGCGAGGACAAATGTGGGTGGCTTATCTTTAGCATGCTGAAAGTGCTTTTTAAACATTCTGATTAGCTAGAAAAATGAGAAGCTGCTCTGAAATCTTTTTGTGAAATATTTAAGTAGAGTGGATAATAGCAGAACTTTGGTAGCTATTCTTTACGTTTTCTTCTTTTCACAGTCATCCGTGATCTCCACATTTAGGGTGACGTTGCAACCTTTTTCCATTGTAACAAAATAAATTGTAATATAGCCTAATTGAGAATGAGACTGGTTTGGTTTGGTTTGGTTTGGTTTTGCCAGATTAAGGGTGGAAAACTATTACAGCTGGGCATGGATGTAAAGGTTTTGTGACTATGTGTCAGTTAATTAGATTGCTCTAAAACAGTATTGTCCAAACTTGGCCACTTTAAGATGAGTGGACTTCAACTCCCAGAATTCCCCAGCC